TGGAGGCAGACCTGCTCTACAGGGTACAGAGAGTGAAGGCAGACCTGCTCTACAGGGTACAGAGAGTGGAGGCAGACCTGCTCTACAGGGTACAGAGAGTGAAGGCAGACCTGCTCTACAGGGTACAGAGAGTGGAGGCAGACCTGCTCTACAGGGTACAGAGAGTGGAGGCAGACCTGCTCTACAGGGTACAGAGAGTGAAGGCAGACCTGCTCTACAGGGTACAGAGAGTGAAGGCAGACCTGCTCTACAGGGGTACAGAGAGTGGAGGCAGACCTGCTCTACAGGGTACAGAGAGTGGAAGCAGACCTGCTCTACAGGGTACAGAGAGTGGAGGCAGACCTGCTCTACAGGGTACAGAGAGTGAAGGCAGACCTGCTCTACAGGGTACAGAGAGTGGAGGCAGACCTGCTCTACAGGGTACAGAGAGTGAAGGCAGACCTGCTCTGGCATACAGGGTACTAAATAAGTGTAAACTTCTTCCCTCCCCTTCATGGAGGTGTAATTAAGTAAATCATTTGTTTATACATAATTTAGAATCAGTCATATTTTTAAATATCAATTTGACACTGACTAATATTGTATTGTATAATCATTCTCATGTTACATTTTTGTATTATTGTTTTTTCGAAATAAATCAAATCAAAGTAACTAATGCACATTTCCCTCTGGGACGAGTAGAGGTTTCTGATTCTGAAGACAAACACAATAACAACTCAACATCCCACGCATCCACCCTGTCACCTGACAGCAGTGTGGAGTACATTATATCTCTATATCAGGGGTGTCCAAACTACGGCCCGGGGGCCAAATGCGGCCCATTTTGAAACGGCCCTAAACTAATTAAAATAGTCTAATGAAATATGGCCCACAGATTAAACTTGTGTTTGCAATCTGATGAACCGACAATAACCAGTTTATCACGATGACTAAAAACATGTGGTCTTCAGTCTGTTCGTTACTGGTTCTGAAAATGAAATATTGCTAGCTAGCTTAGCATCAATTCTGTGCAAACGAGACTAAAACACTCATTAGGAAACGGCTCTGAGCTCATTCAAATAGCATAATGAAATATGGCCCACAAATTAAACTTGTGCTTGTGAGATCTTCATAGTATGTTGAATACTTAAAACGAAAGTTAATTATAATCAAGTATAATCAATTATATTCTTGTATAACTCACAATGAAAATGCTTCCTATGTTATGTTTTTTTATATTTACTGTATAAACAAAGTGGTTTGTTAAGTTGAGTGTAAGGCCTGTAATGGTTTATGGGTGTCACTGATAAGGGAGAAGGCAGTTTCTTCCCTCTCCCCTCACAGCAGTTCACCGGGAGGGGGCTCCGGACTTAAGGAGAAACACACTGAGGCCTCAAAAAGGCGGTTATGTCATAGCCGAGAATAATATTTTGCAAGTTCTGCAGAGTAGGGGTCATGACCTTTTTACACAAACATGGGAAGGTGTGTCTTATGCCATAGCCATAGAATATGTCTGGTCATGTCCAGTCCTGTACATCAGAGGCCATGCCCAGCTTCCACAAATATGGATATGGAGGAGGGGTCTTAGGTTTCTATATCCTGTTGTTGAGCATAAAGACACTGGCGGATGGGGAGGAACTTTCTTTTTGGGAAAGCTCTGTCCCTCAGAGCTGGGTTTAGCTCTCGGTAAGGTTCTCTCAGACTTGGTAAATATCTCTCAAATGTCTTGGTTGAATGCTGAGTGAATTTCTTTGTGAAATAAGTGGAATGAATTGAGATGTGTTTGTGAATATTAGGCCCGCCACCTGTGAGGAATCTTCCTCCGGATTCATGCGGATAGGAACGGGTTTCAGATGTTATTCCCGCCGTCTGTGTCGGAAAAAAGGTATGAAATTGATGTGAATTGATTTGGTGAAAATGAAAGTTTGAATGTGCTTTTTATTGTCACCGGTCTTTTATGAGGAAATGCCTCTAAATTCTATCGGGAGATTTAGAAATCACAACTGAATTGGGCAGTTGAAGTTAAACATTATGGTAATAAATGTAAAACTGTGAATTAAAGTTTCATATTAGAACATGATCACAGCATGATAGGTTTAGTATGATTATAATGTTGTAAAGAGAGAAGGTAAAAACCCTGTATTAGTTTGGACCTATTTCTCTTCAAATAAACTGATCCTACCTTTTGGACTGGGATAACTTAAAAGACACCTGTGCCCTCCTCTCCTGCTTCAAAGGTAAGATTGCACCCTGCCACACTCACACTTAGGTAGGAGCACACTCCATTTATTGATATCAAAATCCTTTGGGATCCCTTAAACAGATTCAGAGTCGTCTGAATTGAAACAGCAGTTAATTGAACCTGGTTCTTCAGGAGTTAATAGAGGTGAGATCTTGCTGACGTTGGTGGATCTGAGCCAAGCAGTAAACTTACATAGACTCAATAACTTCTGTCAGGTCAATTAGTAGGTCTGAGTAATGTCCAACAAATTATCAGCTCCTCCCGACTCTTACAATATGTACAAATATATATCACAGTATTCATCAATCAACCAATCACTCATTTGCATAATACACCTTTTTATAATCAGTCTGAAGCTTCTGTTTTAAGTCATGAGCTGCAAACTGAATAAAGTAAGCCCTGAGGAGAGCTGAGATGAAGGCTGTTGTGATTCTGACAGGAAGTCTCACCTTGTATATTTGTACCTACAGTAGTACTTGCTTCTCTCTGAGAGTATATATGTGTACCTACAGTAGTACTTGCTTCTCTCTGAGAGTATATATGTGTACCTACAGTAGTACTTGCTTCTCTCTGAGAGTATATATGTGTACCTACAGTAGTACTTGCTTCTCTCTGAGAGTATATATGTGTACCTACAGTAGTACTTGCTTCTCTCTGAGAGTATATATGTGTACCTACAGTAGTACTTGCTTCTCTCTGAGAGTATATATGTGTACCTACAGTAGTACTTGCTTCTCTCTGAGAGTATATATTTGTACCTACAGTAGTACTTGCTTCTCTCTGAGAGTATATATTTGTACCTACAGTAGTACTTGCTTCTCTCTGAGAGTATATATGTGTACCTACAGTAGTACTTGCTTCTCTCTGAGAGTATATATTTGTACCTACAGTAGTACTTGCTTCTCTCTGAGTATATATTTGTACCTACAGTAGTACTTGCTTCTCTCTGAGAGTATATATTTGTACCTACAGTAGTACTTGCTTCTCTCTGAGTATATATTTGTACCTACAGTAGTACTTGCTTCTCTCTGAGAGTATATATTTGTACCTACAGTAGTACTTGCTTCTCTCTGAGTATATATTTGTACCTACAGTAGTACTTGCTTCTCTCTGAGTATATATTTGTACCTACAGTAGTACTTGCTTCTCTCTGAGTATATATTTGTACCTACAGTAGTACTTGCTTCTCTCTGAGTATATATTTGTACCTACAGTAGTACTTGCTTCTCTCTGAGTATATATCTTGTACCTACAGTAGTTATTGCTTCTCTCTGAGAGTATATATGTGTACCTACAGTAGTACTTGCTTCTCTCTGAGTATATATTTGTACCTACAGTAGTACTTGTGTCTCTCTGAGAGTATATATTTGTACCTACAGTAGTACTTGCTTCTCTCTGAGTATATATTTGTACCTACAGTAGTACTTGCTTCTCTCTGAGAGTATATATGTGTACCTACAGTAGTACTTGTGTCTCTCTGAGAGTATATATTTGTACCTACAGTAGTACTTGCTTCTCTCTGAGTATATATTTGTACCTACAGTAGTACTCTCTGACCTTGTATATTGGGCCTGGTGCTGGTTCTGGTTGTTCAGCTGGATACGTATAAAACACACAGACAGACTTTAGTAATACTTTATTAGGAGTATATACGCTCAAATACAACGTCTTTTAACTCAACATACTTCACACATGTGACGTCTGATAAAGTGACGGTTGAATTAATTTCTTAAAATGCTCAAAGCACATTTATATTCACATGAGTATTACTCTGACAGTTTATGTACATGGAGAGAAGCTGCTGACAGCTGGAGCTCCTGGTCCATCAGGTCAAGGGAACACAGAGACTCAGTTCCTCACGTGAACCCGCTCAGACCCAATTTGGGGTTAACAGAGAATAATAATATCATTCATAATAATTACACATCTGAGTTTTTAGAGACGACCCTGTTAGCATGCAGCTAAAAGAAGATCTTGTTCACAGACGCAGGAGATGAAAGAGTGCTATTATCACTGATATCATGCATTTCTGTAGTTCCCCAGCTGTTTTCACATCAACTCAAAACACTCATATTGGCGGTAGATCGACGTTAAATCACGAGAGCGCAGAGGACCATCTGACGGCAAGCTGAAGCTGTGGAAGCATCCTAAATATCGTGGATACCTCAACTGGTATTTGTTGTTATTTTTAAGTGTTGCTTACGTACATTTTCGTGTACTTCTAAGCCGCCAGACTCCATTAAAAACACTGCAGTCTGACTTTGTAGGATACGGGATCTGCTTATTGTGGGACTTTCAGAGACAACAACAGCAATAATGCTTCACCTTCCACTGCAGGGAGCACACTTTGTGCACAGTATATCAAGTGTATTTGTGTCACGAGAATGGACCAACAATCAGCACGATGTGTAGAAACTCTGCAGGACTTCCTCTGACTTTGAGTTTCCATCACACACACACACACACACACACACACACACACACACACACACACACACACACACACACACACACACACACACACACACACACACACACACACACACACGCACACACACACACACACATACTTAACGTTACCAGAGCAGCATGCAGAGCAACGCACGACGTCTCACTGACACTGATAGGGCTAACAACGTCCCAGCATGCAACACTTTTAAGAATCAGTGTGAAGAGACGATGCGTTGTGTGTGTGTGTGTGTGTGTGTGTGTGTGTGTGTGTGTGTGTGTGTGTGTGTGTGTGTGTGTGTGTGTGTGTGTGTGTGTGTGTGTGTGTCACAGCTGAATCCACGTCCAGCTGTGGCGTTAATTGCAAAATAAAAGCGCTTTTCGAAAATGCAGTCCTCCTACCTTTTATTATAAATAACTATGATGCCTACTCTAAATAAGTACATATGCTTAGTGCTTGATAATTTAATAAATCCTCTAATTAATCTACACTTGGCACCCAATGTGGTGCGATACAATCTTAAATGTGTACACTAACACCTTAAAGCTACTCAAAGGTGATGTCAATGTGTCCTAATGCAGACATACACGTTGCACGATGCTGCATGCACGTAAACAACTGCATTTAAACGTGATCGATCCTCATTCATAGCCAACGCCAGAGGAAAAGGTTTGGCCCATACCAACGACGTGCCGAGGTCATCTCTGACTGAAGCGTCACCGGTGTGTTGAGGAGCTTTGTTTAAGAGAACTGACGCTTCCAGGTTCAACACCTGTACGGTATTTTGAAAGCAAGTCGTGGTTTGTGATGAGTCTGATGGTTCCCACGAAGACTCCAGAGAGAGCGCAGTTTGTGTCCCTTTGGAAACCAGACATCTGTAATAATAAAACGTGCACTTGTTCTGAGTCGACCCACGATGTTTATTCCAGCCCTAAAGCTGGTCGTTTGCTTTGTTTGTTTCTTGTTTCCATTTACAACTTTAACCACGTGTTTAAAACTGACAATAAGATACGTAACGTTACCCTTCGACTGTGACTGGACGGGTTCAATGGGAACGTCCGTTTTAGTGTTGATTGATCAATAGCTTCAATCTTTTTCTCAACCTAGCTGGGGTTTCTTTGCTCCAACGATGCAGGTTCGTTGAATGGGAACGTAAGAGGATTCATGACGTACGACTAATCTGGCTTTTTTTAAAATATGTTTCAAACCACGATGTTTAGTTAAACCGAGTCAGCAGGATTTAAAAATCTGTTGATCTTTTTCAATTTACAACTTTAACCACGTTTTTAAAACTGCTGACGTTACCCTTTACGGTTATTGAGGACGCAGTTTGGTTCAAATGTATAATTCACTAGTTATTGTTCTGCTGTGACTCATGTCTGCCCTCTCACAGCACCATGGGGGGTATGTGGCCGAAACCCAATGTTGTTTCTTCTCTCAACGAAGTAGTTCTGTTTCCATTTACAACCAAAACCACGTGTTCAAACTTCTACGGTTCCTGAGGGATAAGATACGTAACGTTACCCTTCGACTGTGACTGGACGGACTTTAGTTCAATGGGAACGTCAGTTTTGGGGTACTTCAAACGAGTACTTTTCTAAGGCCAAACCAAAATCTGTATCTAAACCTAGCCAGGGTTTCTTTGCTCCAACGACGCAGGTTCGTTGAATGGTAGCGTCAGAGGAGGATTCATGACGTACGGCTAATCTGGCTCTCTTCAATGTACGTCCGTCACATATTAAACGTACCTCTTGGAAGGCGGACCACAAAGTTTAGCTAACCTAGCCAGGAGGAATACAACAATCTGTTGATCTGTTTTCAATGTACAACTTTAACCAGAACTTCTACGGTTTCTGACGTTACCCGGGATAAGATACGCAATGTTACCCTTCAACTGTGACTGGATGGAGTTTAGTTCACGTGCACGCCATTTTTAGGGTTGATTGATCAATAGTTTCAACCACAATATTGAGCTAAACCTAGACAGCTTTTCTGTTGATCTGTTTTCAATTTACAACTTTAACAACGTGTTTAAAACTGCTGAGAAAGGTATACTTCAGTAGCTCTTGTTCAGTGGTGCCTCTCACAGCACCATGGTGGGTATGTGGTGAACCAGAGAGGCTGGGTGAGGCATGCTCAGCTGGGGGGGGTGATTCTGAGGGGAGTGCACCATCATGTTCCCTCCCCCCGCAGCGGCGATAGCGATGGCGTTAGCCTTAGCATTAGCATCTGCAGATGGTCGGTGCCGGGCGCTCTTCTGATGCGCGCGCAGCCCGGCCAGCTGGGAGTAGGCGGACTGGCAGACGAGGCACTTGTACGGTCGCTCTCCGGTGTGCAGACGCACGTGATTCCTCAGAGTCGACGACTGGCTGAAGCGTCTGTTGCAGAAGCGGCAGACGAAGGGTTTGTCCAGCGTGTGAATCCTCATGTGAGAGCGGAGGTTGCTGCGGGAGTTGAACCCGCGATGACAGATTACACAACGCATGCGACCAACACTGATGGAGGAGGAGGAAGAGGAGGAGGAAGAGCAGGAGGAGGAAGAGGAGGAGCCTTCACAGGTGTGGAACTCATCTGGAGGAGGAAGAGGAGGGATTATAGAGCGGTGCAGGGATGTGGCATTTCTGTAGTGGACCCTGAAGGCAGCATCTCCCTGGTCCAATGGGATTTCTCCATCTGATTTTGGATTATGTAGAAAATAATCTCCGTGTTAAACAAACGTTGAATGCTAAGCTAAAGAAGACTAATGTTGGGCTATAAAGGAACTACAGCACGGTCACATGACTTCACGTCACCACCGCTAAGCTAAAGGAGGCTAATGTTGGGCTATAAAGGAACTACAGCACGGACACATGACTTCACGTCACCACCGCTAAGCTAAAGGCGGCTAATGTTGGGCTATAAAGGAACTACAGCACGGTCACATGACTTCACGTCACCACCGCTAAGCTAAAGGGGGCTAATGTTGGGCTATAAAGGAACTACAGCACGGTCACATGACTTCACGTCACCACCGCTAAGCTAAAGGAGGCTAATGTTGGGCTATAAAGGAACTACAGCACGGTCACATGACTTCACGTCACCACCGCTAAGCTAAAGGAGGCTAATGTTGGGCGTGATGACTTTATTTCAGGATAACAACCAAAAACACCAGAAAACCATTGACTTTTAGTGAGGGGACAGGAAGTGATACAATGCTGACTCATGTCTGGGTTTAAGACTCATTCCTGCAGGTTTTTAAACCATCAGATATTTTAATTATCTTACGGAAGCCCTGAGAGGCAAGGGAGAAAAACTGATCTGAATAATTTTCTCTGCTCATTATGACGTAAAAACAGGAGGAATAAAAGATCTTGTCAGGATCCACATTCATGGATTAATTTACGGATAATAAAATCATGTTTACCTGTCTTTGTCTTCTTGGTCTGCTCTTCGTCTCCTCCAGGTATTCCCGGTATTCCCAGGAATGTGTTGTGGGAGTTTCCGTACCACACGAGGAGCTCCTGGTCCGGAGGAATCGTCTGAGGAGAGGAAACGTTCATCTTTAATAACATGTCTTGTATTTAACTGAAGTGAAAGGAAACATCTAATCATTTTGTTTTACTAACTGTCTCTGTTTGTGTCTGTAGATTTCTCCAAATATTACACCTCATTTGCATCTGTAAACACAACATGTCAGAGAACTTGTGATGTAAAAGATAATTGTGTTGATGTCAGTAATGAGGCGGGGAGTTTTCACGGTGAATAAAGGTCCATGTTCACCATCAAATAAATACATCTAGTCTCCCAGCAGAGGGCGACACACACACGTGTAATGACGGTGGGTAGTCAGGTAAAATGGTAGGGTATACCACATTGACCAACACACACACACACACACACACACACACACACACACACAACACACACACACACACACACAAACCGACACACACTCCTGCATCTTCATTTTGAATGTCCTGATCTAACCGCCTCTTTAATTCTTCTATTACTGAAATTGATTCAAAGGCCACTCATTTACCGGGAATGTATATTTAATTTACATAATTGTATACGACTAAATATGACTAAATTCTAACAAGCTGCCTCGTATGAAGGACATCGTAGAACATATAATAATATCTTGCGTTGTAAATCATGTGCAGCGCAACCATCAGCAATACAATGAGCTATATAAATACATTAAGGAACTCTGTGTGAGTGGACAGGAGGCGGTGCGTTCAATGACCTCTACAGCACCCTTATAATAATAATAATAATATTGAAAAGATAATAAATAACTATAAACGGACAAGTTAAATCAAGCGATCTGATTGGTTCTTAGCCGTGATATAATGAGCGTATATCACGGGTAGAATTGTAGTTACTTTTCACAAGTCAGTATCCCTCCGCGTCTGAGAAACAACTACAACCGTTACAGCTGCTACGTTACGTCCGTTAGGAAACTAACTAACTAACTAACCAACTAACTAACTAACTAACTAACTAACTAACTAACTAACTAACTAACTAACTAACTAACTAACTAACTAACTAACTAACTAAGCTCAAGATGGAAACATTGAACTTGGAGTGGATTGAGCAGTGCCTCTCTCCAGAAAGCACCTAAACGACGACATGCAGAGCTACGTGAAGAGCAGGTAGACCAACTGGCCGGAGAAAGTAGAGCAATATTCTCGACACGCCAAGCAACAGCCTAGATCAACCTCAGCCTAGAGAAACCTCAGCCTAGAACAACCTCAACCTAGAACAACCTCAGCCTAGATCAACCTCAGCCTAGAACCTCAGCCTAGAACAACCTCAGCCTAGAACAACCTCAGCCTAGAACCTCAGCCTAGAACCTCAGCCTAGATCAACCTCAGCCTAGAACAACCTCAGCCTAGAACAACCTCAGCCTAGAACAACCTCAGCCTAGAACAACCTCAGCCTAGATCAACCTCAGCCTAGAGCAACCTCAGCCTAGAACAACCTCAGCCTAGAACAACCTCAGCCTAGATCAACCTCAGCCTAGAACAACCTCAGCCTAGATCAACCTCAGCCTAGAACCTCAGCCTAGATCAACCTCAGCCTAGATCAACCTCAGCCTAGATCAACCTCAGCCTAGAACCTCAGCCTAGATCAACCTCAGCCTAGAACCTCAGCCTAGAACAACCTCAGCCTAGAACAACCTCAGCCTAGATCAACCTCAGCCTAGATCAACCTCAGCCTAGATCAACCTCAGCCTAGAACCTCAGCCTAGATCAACCTCAGCCTAGAGCAACCTCAGCCTAGATCAACCTCAGCCTAGATCAACCTCAGTCTAGATCAACCTCAGCCTAGAGCAACCTCAGCCTAGATCAACCTCAGCCTAGAACAACCTCAGCCTAGTGCAACCTCAGCCTAGAACAACCTCCGCCTAGATCAACCTCAGCCTAGAACAACCTCAGCCTAGAACAACCTCAGCCTAGATCAACCTCAGCCTAGAACAACCTCAGCCTAGAACAACCTCAGCCTAGAACAACCTCAGCCTAGATCAACCTCAGCCTAGATCAACCTCAGCCTAGAACAACCTCAGCCTAGATCAACCTCAGCCTAGAACAACCTCAGCCTAGAACCTCAGCCTAGATCAACCTCAGCCTAGATCAACCTCAGCCTAGAACCTCAGCCTAGATCAACCTCAGCCTAGAACAACCTCAGCCTAGAACAACCTCAGCCTAGAACCTCAGCCTAGATCAACCTCAGCCTAGATCAACCTCAGCCTAGAACAACCTCAGCCTAGAACCTCAGCCTAGATCAACCTCAGCCTAGAACAACCTCAGCCTAGAACAACCTCAGCCTAGAACCTCAGCCTAGATCAACCTCAGCCTAGAACAACCTCAGCCTAGAACAACCTCAGCCTAGAACCTCAGCCTAGAACAACCTCAGCCTAGAACCTCAGCCTAGATCAACCTCAGCCTAGATCAACCTCAGCCTAGAACCTCAGCCTAGAGCAAGTAACCTCGTAAGCCACACTGACCTCCACGGCCTTGTAGAAGATGCTGCTGCCGACCTGCACCACCTCCAGGTTCTGCTCCTGCTCGTTCCTCGCACACTTGATGTACGTCATCCAGCTCCTCTGGTCCTCCTGACTCGCGTCGATGAAATATCGGACCGTCCCGTCCTCGTTAAACACCTGAAGAACGGAAAGCACCTCGGTTTAGATCAGTGTTTCTCAAACTTTTTCATACCAAGGACCACTTAACCAATAAAAAAACACTTGCGGACCACCTAACTCCACAAATATCCCAAAACACATCGTTTTTTACAAATCGCCTGAAAATGGTACAAACAAGTGGCAACATGTGTGATGAAGGTGTTTATCTGGGCTATATCATGCAATCGAAAGTGAAACTTAAGCTCGCTCCATTGCGGAGATATTCCAGTGAGAGTGCGAAAAACTTAAATTTAATTTATTTCAAATGTGAAATTTTACCAATATACTCACGGACCACTAGGGGGCGCTCACGGACCACCAGTGGTCCGCGGACCACACTTTGAGAAGCACTGGTTTAGATCATAAGGGCCGAAACACGATCGTAATATTTAACGTTAATACAAACACATTGTTTTAGTCTTTCAAGGTTTAATAAGTTATACTAAGACGTACGATATATCATATTTGTAGTTAGCCTTTCAAGATGTACGATATTTATTATATTTGAAGTTAGCGTTTTAAGATTTACGATATTTATCATATTTGTGTGTGTGTGTGTGTGTGTGTGTGTGTGTGTGTGTGTGTGTGTGTGTGTGTGTGTGTGTGTGTGTGTGTGTGTGTGTGTGTGTGTGTGTGTGTGTGTGTGTGTGTGTGTGTGTAAACGTGTGTTTGTTTACCTCCCACATGAGGTTGTTGTTCTTGTACAGGTCGATGTGTTCAGGGGAAATCAGACGTCCGGTGAACGGTCCCATCTCTGTTCCTGCTTTAATCCACGTCTTCGAGAAGATCCCCAAACCTTCTCCTGAAACACAAAATATATACGTTTTATTAATACCATTATAATTATATTTTTTAGCGTCCCCTGGACAGCTTCACGGGAGGGGCAGCGTGAGAAAAAAATAAGGAGAAGCAGTGAAATCTAGCTCGTTAATTTCAGCTAACTTTATGCGAGCGGCAACATGGATCGATTTTTAGTGAAGTGGCAGAAAACGTCACTTGCACACTTTTGGCTGTCTGTGGAGACCGAGTTCCCCACCTCGCCAAAAGGCTGTAACAGTGCTCATTCCCTTCACCTCCGCCTGCCTGTGTGGGTGCTCACTCCCTTCACCTCCGCCTGCCTGTGTGGGTGCTCACTCCCTTCACCTCCGCCTGCCTGTGTGGGTGCTCATTCCCTTCACCTCCGCCTGCCTGTGTGGGTGCTCACTCCCTTCACCTCCGCCTGCCTGTGTGGGTGCTCACTCCCTTCACCTCCGCCTGCCTGTGTGGGTGCTCACTCCCTACACCTCCGCCTGCCTGTGTGGGTGCTCACTCCCTTCCCCTCCGCCTGCCTGTGTGGGTGCTCACTCCCTTCACCTCCGCCTGCCTGTGTGGGTGCTCACTCCCTTCACCTCCGCCTGCCTGTGTGGGTGCTCACTCCCTTCACCTCCGCCTGCCTGTGTGGGTGCTCATTCCCTTCACCTCCGCCTGCCTGTGTGGGTGCTCATTCCCTTCACCTCCGCCTGCCTGTGTGGGTGCGGGTTTTCCGCATTGACTCTGATCAGAAGCAAGTGCCGTCAAGGCTGCAGCCAGAGGATGATCTGCGTTTATTCCTGTGCGCTTCAAAGACGCAGACTCATGTTCCCACTAAAGTAGGCTGAGTGTAACAAGGAGGCAAAGTTGACGTTCAGTGTGTAGTTAGCATTTCAAGGTACGATATAAGGATTTGTCCACGATGTTGAACATGTTAAAACAAATATTGTTTAATGTTTTAAGGAGGTGACGCTACCCAGCCAATCACATGGGTGCAGTCAGTGAGTCAGCAGATAGATGCAAACACGCACGAGACACGAGGAGAGAAACAGTCATTTCAAATAGCATTTAATGAAATGTTCTCTCACTGGACCTCTTTGAAATGCAATGCAATACTCCTGCATTATAGCAACAACAACAACAACAACAACAACAACAATAATCATAATAATAATAATAATACTAGCAATAATAATTGGGAGGGGGTGCGCGGCTGTTCTCATGTTCTCTGAGGGGAGCTCACCTTCCCACACTTTGAACCCCCTGCTTTAGACCGTTATAGCGCGCGTGCACCGGTCGGCCTCCGATCTGATGCACACTGTCTGTCTCACTGCAGAGCTTCACGATGTCAGACACACACCGTTCGTCCGTTTAACAATCATAAATCAATTGTATTTATGTCTGAGCTTTTATACGAACCCTCAACAGGATAATACATTAATAAAATGTTTTATTACAATTTGCAAATATAACAAAACATGTCTTTTTCTGCTACATTTAATTGACAGAAACAGCTGAGACGCTAAAAGGTGAAATATGCTTTCAAATCACTGGAATGTTCCTCCTAGATAATAACAACGATGTTTGAACCATTGGATCACAGAAACACCGCGTGTTGAACACGAGCCGTTACCTGGCACGGAGCTCTGGGCGATGATCACCTCGCTCGGGAGAACCAGGCTGGACAGCTTCTGCACCTCTGGAAGGAAACACAAGATATAATTACAAATGGCACTTTAATAATAATAATAATAATAATAATAATAATAATAATAATAATAATAATGCATTTTATTTATGGGCGCCTTTCGAAGCTCTCAAGGACACCTTACAGAGCATCATCAAAAACAAGCGACAAAGACGGTCAAACAGTAATTCGAGACTTAAAAAACAAAGACTTAAAAACAACGATCAGTTTAGAGGAATTATGATCTAGAATACGCCAGTTTAAAAAGGTGTGTTTTCAGGCTGGATTTGAAGGTTGAGAGTGAGTCCATGTTGCGGGACAGAGCTCCAGAGCGGCTGACGGCTCGTGACCCCACGGTGGTCCGGCGGGAAGAAGGTACAGGAAGGCAGAGGAGGACCGGAGAGCACGGGAGGGAGAAGAGGTGTGAAGGGCCTCGAAGCTGAGGAGGAGCAACGTGTTGAAGTGGATGCGGGATTTAACGGGAGTTGTTGAAGACCCGGAGCGATGTGATCAGTGTGGACTTCGGGTCATGACACGGGCGTTTCGAAACTCCTCTGATCACATTGTATTATAACTCAACTTTATCAGAAACACTAATGTGACACTGAATTTGAACTCCATACACTTTAACAGTTTAAAGTGGAACATCATCTTATTAATTAATATTCTGTGTCTTTATTCATAATGAAATATCATCTTTTCAGCATTAAATGTTTTATTTCTACTGCAGAGATTAGTATTTCACACTCAATCAAATGTGTGTAATGTCATATAATGTAAAGTATATATATTTCTCTTATAAAGAGGAAGTGTTGACCTGTACATTTGATTTCATTGATTATTATTTATGAATTAGTCTAAATAAGTCGGTTAAACGCCGTGATCTCGGCTCGGATCGAGACAAATGAATTCCTTTATAATGATGTAATCATGTGGTCACCGGGCTCCAAAGAGTCTCTGATAGGTGATCACATCACCCCCGTCCTGAAATCACTGCACTGGCTCCCCGTGGAACTGAGGATGGAGCACAAGGTCTCCGCTACCCCCCCCACCAGTGCGTCCATGGAACTGCCCCTGCCTACCTCAGGGAACTCCTCAGCGGCGCTAGGGGAGGCAACTTGGGCTCAAGCCCAGGATGTTTTCTGAAAAGCCCCGGATGTTTCACTTAAGGTAAACATTTGTTTGGAGACGCTACCAGCTCCCCCCCCCCCCCCTCCCCCCCTTTGCTTCGACTGCTTTGTTCCACCGTGTTGTGTGCTGTTTTTATACTGTTCCAGGCTCACTGCTTGTAGCACTTCGGGATTTGAACTCAAATATGAAACCCATTATTATTATTATTATTATTAATAATAAGAGGCTCGTCAGTCCCCTCCTGCTCCCTGGCTAAATGACGCACTGCGTGCTAATAGAACCGTCCTTAGGGCAGCAGAGCGGAAATGGTGGAAATCCAAACACCGTGACGACCTCCTAACCTATCAAGCTCTCCTCTCCTCTTTCTCTGCTTCGATCTCTCAGGCAAAAAGCACTTTCTTTCAAGATAAGATCCAATCTTCCTATTCCAATCCTAAAAAACTATTTTCCATCTTCTCCACCCTCTTGGACCCCCCAAAAGCCCCTTCCCCCTCCTCACTTCTGTCAAGCGACTTTGTTACCCACTTTGAAAAAAAGGTTAATGATATTCGCTCTTCTTTTTCTGACTCACCTTTACTCACCGCTGGGTCACCAGACCCTTCCTTCCACCAACACACTAACCTCCTTTTCCCCTCTCTCTCCAAGTGAGGTTCTTACCCTCATTACCTCTGCCCGCCCTACCACCTGTCCTCTGGACCCCATCCCTTCAAACCTCCTTCAGACTATCGCTCCTGATATTCTACCGTTTCTCACCCATTTCATCAACACTTCTCTAACTTCTGGTCACTTTCCAAACAGTCTCAAGGAGGCAAGAGTAAACCCTCTCCTAAAGAAACCCACTCTCAACCCGTCTGATGTTATAAACTACAGGCCTGTCTCTCTCCTCCCGTTCCTGTCTAAATCACTTGAACGCGCATACAGGGTGACTTGGAGAGGGTCCGAGTCCGACCCTTGTCAATTAACTACAGGGGTCCCTCAGGGCTCTGTCCTTGGTCCCCTCCTCTTCTCCTTGTACACAAACTCGCTCGGATCAGTCATTAGCCCGCATGGTTTTTCATACCACTGCCCTGTGTTTGCCTTCCTGTCGTCAGTTTCCATGGTGTGTCTGATTGCCTCAGTGTGTTCACCTGTTGCCCTTGTGTTTCTGCCTCCCCTGCCAGCTGTGTCTTGTCCTGTGATTACCCTTCTGTGTATTTAGTCTTGTCTTGTGCTCCCATGCTACCTTGTCTCTTCATGTCCTTGTTCCCTCCCTCGCCTATGCTCGTCTTTGCTAGTCCATGTCTCCTGCCTGTTCCCACCTGTAAGTGTGTTCCTGTCTGTCGTGCTCCCCAGTTTTGTTAATGTTAATTGTTTTCTTGTTTTCTTTTGTCATCGGCTTTTTTTGGAATAAAGCTCGCTTTTTGTTATCTGACTTTTTTAGTCCTATTTCTGCATTTTCCCCAAACCTGACACTTCTTGGTCGAATGCACTTTTTGTAAGTCGCTTTGGATAAAAGCGTCAGCTAAATGAAATGCAATGTGATGTAATGTAATTATTGATATGATTAAATAATATGCTTAATTTAGTAAAAATAAAAAAACATCGCTTTTGCTTTTTTGTTGTTGTAATTTTTCCTGTTTTATTTTATATTTTAAATTAATTTTCTTGTAAAATTCGTATCCGTTTTTGACAATAAAACGGTCCCTACGTGTCTCAGATATTATCAAGTAATTTTCTTAATTTGCTACATTTTCTAAATTAATGATTAAAACTGGGTCATTTCCCTTCCTACCCTCACCTACGGTCATGAAGGATGGGTCATGACCCAAAGAACCAGATCGCGGATACAAGCGGCAGAGATGGGTTTTCTCCGCAGGGTGGCTGGTGTCTCCCTTAGGGATAAGGTGAGAAGTTCGGTCATCAGGGAGGGACTCGGAGTTGAGCCGCTCTTCCTTCGCGTCGAAAGGAGCCAGTTGAGGTGGTTCGGGCACCTAGTTAGGATGCCACCTGGGCGCCTCCCTAGGGAGGTGTTCCAGGCACGTCCAGCTGGGAAGAGACCGAGGGGTAGACCTAGGACCAGGTGGAGGGATTATATCTCTTCGCTGGCCTGGGAGCGCCTTGGGATCCCCCAGTCAGAGCTGGTTGATGAGGGGAGAGGAACGTTTGGGGCTCTCTGCTGGAACTGATACCCCCGCGACCCGACCACGGAGAAGCGGGAGAAGATGGATGATTACAAAAAACTGCTTTTTTGATACTTTTTTCTTTTACCCCTGTTTTTCTCCGGGGTGCTGAAATGTCCCACAAGCTGTGAAAGCAGCATGTAACCGAGGATAAAGAAGGTGCGTTCAATGCCCCCTTTTCCCCCTTCAATAGCCGCATTATGTCTGCCCCCCCCCCCCCCTAAATAGACCTCAAACTGGGAGATTTAATGTGAAATAAAGGAGAGAGTGAGTCGCCATGAATAAGGAGAGAGAAAGGAGAAAGAAAGGAGGGAGAAAGGAGGGCCGTCGGAGCGGTTTCACGCTTCAGAATGACCGTGAAACCGCTCCGACGTAAAGGAGCAAAGAGACTTAGATGGAGAGTAAAGTGGGAGATGATCCGCGTTTAGAAACACAGAAGAAGAAAAGAGGAAAGCCCATAAATGACAAGAGAAGAAGAGTTCAGCGGATCGGGTTCACACGACGCGCGGAAAACACGGGTTTATATTCAGGGATAAAAGAGGGGAGAGAGAGGGGAGAAAGGGGGGAGAAAGGGGGAAGAAAGGGGGAAGAAAGGGGGAAGAAAGGGGGGAGAAAGGTCTGCTGCCTCCGGGGGAAATGTCCCGAACGAATACTAACGAAAACTGAAACGAATTTCACTGTAAAATGTGATTTAAACAGAACATTGTAATTATTACAGACCCACAGAAAGGCCGCGAGTGAAGCCTTTCTGTCTGTATCTCTCATTAAAAGCTCATTAACGAAATGATTCCTGAATATCAGAAACACGTTGGGTTATCTCGGTTAGCTAGTGAACGGAAACGGGAACGACTTTCACCGGAACATGTGATTTAAACAAGAAATAAACATTAATAAAGTACTTGTTGTGTTATTTATATGATTTACAAAATGATGTTCTGATATCAGAGACACAGGGGGAGCTTTTTAAAAACGGAAACGAATTTCACCAGAAAATGTAATAAATATAGCCTATAAAATAAAAATAGATAAATTACAATATTTTATTTGGGGGCTGCTAGTGACTTATCCGACCGGCCCCACTTCAGTACGGCCCACCGGGTGGCATCCTAACTAGGAGCGGCTCAACTCCGAGTCCCTCCCGGATGACCGAACTCCTCACCTTATCCCTAAGGGAGACACCAGCCACCCTGCGGAGAAAACCCATCTCGGCCGCTTGTATCCGCGATCTGGTTATTTGGGTCATGACCCATCCTTCATGACCATAGGTGAGGGTAGGAACGAAATGTCCCGGTAGACGGAGAGCTTTGCCTTCTGGCTCAGCTCCCTTTTCGTCACGAAGCGGCTGCATCATCTGTAAAATGACTAAATGAAATCAGAGACTCCAGGAGGTTTCTGTTTCGGACTAATTAATACAGACTCATTATATTAACTTTGTTTGAACAGGTTTAAATAATTGGATGCAATACAAACACTCTAATAATAACTCTCTTTATAGGAAGATAAGATATGTTATATTACACACACCATTGAGTGTGAAATAATAATCGTTTTGCAGTAATCATAAAATGAATCCCTGGTTTCAAACGGACTAAAGACTAAAGACTAAAGAGGACATTTATATTTCTTAATGTTTATGAGAAACAAAGTGAAGATGAATCAGCAGAATGAAACCGTGCTGTTCAAATAGAACTCTTCATCCTCCTGAAGCTGAGTGTCATCCCGGCGTGACGCACCGAAAGGGTTCGTGATCAATCAAGACACAACATATGCGCTCTGCAGAGAGGAGCGCCCTCTGACCTCCTCTGAAGTGTGCTTAACGGGCTGACACTAACCTGAGACTCTCATCAACATTTAGGGCTTAAATAAAAAAAGGATTCAGACCGTCAGAAACAGGACTGACTCCGCAGGTGTGGAAGCGGTCAATGGTTCATTGATCAATACAGACACGACATATCCACTTTAAAGAGAGGATTATAACCTTGTTGAATGCTATAGCAGAACATCTCCTTTAAAGTGCTGATAAAACAGAAAACTAACCTTTAAAATCTCCTAAATCTGACATTTAGGGTTAAAATAAAGAACGTTTTAAAAGGATTTAAAGTCTGAAGCCTCCATGGACTAACGGATTAAATCATAACTGTGTTTTTATCCAGCTGTGAACTCGGTGATTGGTTAATTGATCCACTGACCTCCGGAGAAGGACTGCGCGAGGACCTCGGCGGTGAACGCGGTCTTCGGGCTCGCGCTCGGGGCGCTGCGGTCCTCGTGCGGGTGCAGGTGGTGCTGCTCGCCCAGCACGTGCCTCCACCGGCCGTACAGGAAGCTGTGCAGGATGTCGGAGGTGATGACATCAGCCAGGGAGAGCTGCTGCTGCTGCTGCGGCTTGAAGACGGACTTCAGGCCCAGAGAGGGGCCGGGCAGCACGGAGCCCAT